GGAAACAATCAACCAAAAACCAAACAAAACAGAAATGAGAAGATAAGAATATAAAGATAAAAATAGAGAGTCAGAAAGAAAAGACCACCAACAATATTTTAAAAACCAGAGAAAACATTTCTGTCATGGGACAAACAAGAAGTATTTGACCCTAGTGCAAATGTAGGTTTGGGTCAAGAAGGTCAACTACCCACGCGTCATATTACACTGTGGTTCCATCCACCGTCATCAAGTTTACGATAATCTCTGTCTGATATCAAAGCTGTCCTCCCCTGTGGCCAGAGGGGATCTGCCAGAGGCCTAGTCTGATGGATTTTGGGCTCCCGCTGTCCTCCATTGCCTTCTACAATTTAAGCTCTGATACCTTTCCCTCCTTCATATTTGGATGTTGTTATTGTCATCTTTGGATCACACAGGCTGGTGTGCTTCTTCCATGTGGACTTAGTTGACTCCTTGCTTAGATGGTTACTTGTTTGAATACAAGCCTTCAACACCCCAGACCCTATTCTGATTGATAGCCAGGCACCATCTGCTTTCTTCACCACACTTTGCTGTAGCACCCTTATCTTCAGTGATCTCTTCATGAAGGTGCCTTATCAAACTGGGCCATGTTATCAGAACTAACTGTTCTTGGATTGGGGCTAGAGTTAAGTGGGAGCCCAGACTCCATCTGCTTGTCCGTGGGTCATGAGCGACTTTCCTCCCTCCCACTGCACACCATTTCTCCTAGGAGCCGGTCCATTCCATGAGAGTGTGTGTGTCACGCCAGTGTCCTGTGCGGGCACATCGTTATTCACAAGCTAAGGTTGGCTTTGGTGCCACACAGCCGTGGGTTCTGAGAAGCACAGCTGCTGGAGGCCCCCATGGCGGTCTCAGGACATAGGGTGCCCTGTTGAAAGGGCACCGGGGTGCCTGCGCTCTGCGTTCCTAGCTGGCCCGATCTCTGGATCCGGACGCGCAGTTGATGGGAGGTATGCACCGTCTTTTCAGGGACTCTAGTTCTGCCTTTGCCAGCATCTCAGAGTTGGATGGTACAGCGTGTGGTCTTTTCAGCCTCTTCTTGCGTTTAGGAAGACTTCCCTGAGCCTTTCCTTGCTCAGTAGCTTGTGTGTTTTCATCAGTGAGCGTGTTGTCTTCTGTCACACCACAGTTTGGCCATTCCGCTGTCCTCTCTCTCTTTTTGACGATGAAGCGTCAACCTCTGTGTGCAGGCTTTAGTGTGGTCGCACGTGCTCAGCTCATCTGCCCACCCCCCACCCCCCAGCTGTCGTCCTCCCTCACCACCCTGGCTCCTCAGTCTCTTGCTGATGGCTGGAAGGATGCGCATATCTGCCATGGATGCTCCTTAGAAGTGAGGCGTGTTCATGTGTCTCATGCACTCTGCGCACGTGACCAGGAGGGACCGGTCTCTAGAGAAGGACGAAGTAGTAGTGAATGCAGTGAGATGTAGTCGTTCATAGCAGTGCACTCTAACAATTCTGAGATAGTGCAGGACCAGGCAGTGACCCGATTCTACTGTGCCTAGCGACAGCAGTAGCAACATACAGCCACAAAAACTTTGGAAAAGAAGAAAAGAGGGGGAATAGGCTAGGTCAGAATTGACTCAGGGCAGTAAGTTTTGTTTTGTTTTTGAGAAGTGGAAGAGAAGCAATTAAATATATATTTTTATATTTGCCTATTAAATATAAAAAAGTATACCTGTAACATATAAAACACATACCTATGTTTATGTATATGTGCATATGTGTACATATGCGCATGCATGCCTAATAAACATGCCCTGTGTGTGTGCTATCTCCTTTGCGGTGGTCTGGTTTTCTTGCTTTGCTATGTGTTGCGTTTGTTTAAAAACGTGGCTGTACGAGAATGATGAGGGTAACGAATGTACAGATGTGCTTGACACAATTGATGGACGTATGGATTGTGATAGGACTTGTATGACCCCCCAATAAAATAAAAAGTTACAGTCTTAGAAACCCTCAGGGGCAGTTGCATCCTGCCCCGGATCACTGTGAGGCAGAATTCACTTGACAGAGGTGGGTCTGGTTTGGTTTTTTTGAGGAGCATGGCAGGGCAAGTTGGCAGGAAATGAAGAGCTAGCAATAATGAGTGCAAGAAAGAAGAAATGTCCTAACATTGATTGTGGTGATGATTGCACAACTCTTTGACTAATATTGAATTACTGAAATGTATGATATGTGAATTATAAGTCAATAAACCTGCTAAAAAATTCAATAACCAACCAAACAAACAAGAAAATGTGGCTATCGGGAGTATAAAGAGTCTGGGTGGCACAGTGATTAAGACGTGGCTGCTAAGCACCAGGCTGCTGGTTCAAACCCACCCCGAGGCTCCCCGGGAGAACGGCCTGACCACTCATCTCCACCAAGTCGCAGCACACCCTGTTTCCCCGAAAATAAGACAGTGTCTTGTATTAATTCTTGCTCCCAAAGATGCGCTAGGTCTTATTTTCAGGGGATGTCATATTTTTCCATGAAGAAGAATACAGTACACATTTATTGTTTATTGTCTTATTAAAAGAGACCTTGCACTTCCTGTCTGCTCCGGCTGCGCTGTGGCCAACAGTGAGCTGCGCAGTGGCACCCGCCGTTACGAGTTACAGTAGCTTTGCGGGGGTGGGGGTGGTCTTATTTTCGGGGGATGCCTTACTTTCGGGGAAACAGGGTAGAGAGCTCTATGGGAGTGTCCTGACCGGTCAGAAGGGCCTCCGTGGCACCCAGGGAGAAGAACATGCTACATACTTGCGTCAAGTACAGTTGGGGCTGTGTGGTTCACATGAATAGAAAGAGACCGGAAAACATTCATCGGTTGGGGTGAGGTGTGATGTTACATCCTTGCAAAGCAAAAAAGAAAAAAGAGACAATTCCTTGTTCTAGGTGGATCTGTCCTGTCAGAAAGGCCATCTCCAGTGCTTCTGACACAGTTCTCCTAGGTCCTGAGTGAGTCTCGGAAGGAGTTGTTCCATTTCACTGCCTTCCGTTTTGCCCCTTGGTTCCCACTGCCAAGGACTGGCCTTTAACTTGTGATCACCTGCATAGGACTGCTCAGACTGTAAATCTTGATGGGGGCCAAGAGCCTCGTCTTTCTCCTGAGGAATGGCTGGGGAGTTTGAACTGGCGACCTTGCCACCAGGGCTCCTTGCCCTTTGGCTCAGGCAGTAGTAATTCTCTTCTGCTGCCCTCTCAGCAGAGCCAGCCCACGTTTGGCTTCCTCTTGGACATTGATGGCGTACTGGTACGTGGCCACAAAGTGATCCCCGCCGCTCTGGAAGCATTCCGCAAGCTGGTCGATGCCCAGGGGCAGTTTCGGGTGCCCGTGGTCTTTGTCACAAATTCTGGGAACATCCTGCAGCATGTCAAAGCCCAGGAGCTCTCCTCCCTCTTTGGGTTCAAGGTAAGAAGCTAGCCGGAGGCATGGGAGCCCCAGGCGCTAGCTCAGAGGAGCCCTTCCGACTGGTTGGGGGCAGTACTGAGGAGCCAGTTGGCCAGCACTAATCTTCCAAGCCTGCTGGACAGGCAGGTGGCAGTTCCAGCCCCGCCCCATGGGTTGAGCCTTCTCAATAGGTCATTTTTCCTGTAGGTGGGAGGGCTCCCAAACCCCGCCCCTGTAGTGGGTCGTTCCATTTCACTTCTGGGCACCGGGGCTGGCTCTTCTGCAGGAGAGCAATAGTCATGTCTGCCTAGAGCTCCGTGTCCCCAGTGGCATTTGAAGTCGGCCACCCCGGTCTTCACACATCCGATGTGCACATCGATGGCACTGAGCCCTGGCCTCTCAGAACAGCCCGTGTTCACACGCCTGCCGCCCCACACCCCTTCCCACACTGACAGACTTGGTTTTTGGGAAGGGACCAAGCGGTCAGTAAGGTGACTGACTGCCCGGGGACTAGGACAGGTAGAGAGAGGGCCACCCTCTGGCCGCCCCGTGGGCTCTGGGAACGTTCTGAACAGAAGCGACACTGCTGGAGCTGGCTGAAATGGTACGAAGTGACGACAGTGACCAAGTATGGGGCGCGCTCCTTCAGGTGGCATTGTGAGGGGTGGCAGGGTGGTCCAGAGCCCGTGTCTGAAGGCAGTGGCTCTCCACCTTCCTCGTGCTGCGACCCTTTCATGCATGTGGTGGGGACCCCCAACCATCACGTTATTTTCATTGCTCCTTCATCACTGTCATTTTGCTACTGTTATGAATCAGGTGACCCCTGTGAAAGGGTCGTTTGACCTCCAAAGGGGTCGTGATCCACAGGTTGAGAACCACTGTCTGAAGGTGTCTCCTGGTTATGTGGCAAGGACCAACCTAGAGAGAGAGGCCCTCCTCTCACCTGGGCAGTGCCGGGGAAGGGCTTTTTCCTGCTTTCTGGGCAGCTTTGGTGTGTCTTTGTAGGTGAGAGAAAAGGCCACCTGTGTCCCCACTGTGGTCCCTTCACGGTGGGGCCTTCTCTGCTCTTCTGTTTCTCAACTGCCCCTGCAGGTGGATCCGGACCAGGTTATTCTCTGCCACAGCCCCATGGAGCTATTCTCGCAGTTCCATGGGAAGCGGATGCTGGTGTCTGGGCAGGGGCCCCTGGTGGAAAATGCCCGATTGTATCCTTTTCTTGTTTCTCCTGCTGGCTGAAGGAAGGGGCAGGCCGGAGACCTTGCCTCGGGGGTCAGTGGGGCCACAGTGAGGAGAGGCACTGGACACAGAGGGCCAGTGGCTCAGGGAATCTTCAGGAGAGTTTGAAAATGCCACGCCCCAGGAGAGACGCCACTCATGGGTGTGGGTCAGAACTCGGATCTGGATTGAAAGCCAAGCAAACAAAGAAAATCCTCTGCCCAGGGGATTCTGACAGCACTGGACACAGTCCCTTTCCCTGGTGGCCAGCCAGCAGATCAGCCAGCCCTGGCTCAGGCCCTGCAGTGACGTCATCTTGGGGGTGTGCCTTTATGCAGGAGGCATGAGAGTCCCTTGGTCCCTGTTTGCCGCTGCGCATTCATTCGTGTAGCCATTCAGCTGCGCCAAGCCGCCTGCTGGGCTCCCGGAGACCAGCCTTGACAGTGCAGACGATAGTGCAGACAGAGGCCGGCTGCAGGTGGAAAGAGTGGGGTGGGCTCTCAGTTGTCGCGAGGATTATCCCGGGGACAGGATTTGCTTGTGGCTTCCTGGAAAGATAAACCTCCACCGGAAACAGTGGAGGCTTCACTGGAAAAGGAAACAGCATTTCGGTAGCTACCAGCCCACCAAGCCCAGGGTGTCCGAGACGGCCTCATCTTCCCGCTGGTGGGTTTGAACCTCCGACCTTTTGGCCAACAGCCCATCGCTGCGAGCCCCTGGCACCACCAGAGCTCCTTCCAGAGGCAGGTCAAAGGCTTAGAGCAGGAGGGTGGGATGGGGGGTGAGAGAGAATAGCAGGCACGGTGACACCAGGGGTAGGGATGGGGATTGAGCTGTTTTAGAAAGAAAGCCAGAGTGGAATTCTCGAGCCGGAAGTGGGCACAGGCTATATTGGCGATGGGGTGGTTTCGGGTCAGCTTCCCTTTGGCACTGTGGTCTGAAGCCAGGCTCCCGTCGGGAATATAGCTTGGAATTGAGGATGGGGAAGTTGAGGCAGGTCTGAGAGGAGGAAAGAGAGCTGGCTGGCCTCTCCCAGGGCCTCCCTTCCACAGAGCACCTGTTGGACAGGCGGTGGCAGGTGAGAGGCTCTGGTGGCCTTTGTGCCCCTGGAAGCACCCTGTGGAGGGTCTGGCGCCTGTAGGAGTTTGGCTGGTGGCTAATGATGCAGTCACAGCCCACCTGCCCAACGACACCAGGCCTGTGTCATCCTCTTTGACTCCCTCCCGCCTGGACGTGGGCAGGTCACTCCATGACCTCCGCCCAGCACTGCCTGGTTGCTTCCCTGACCCTGCGGCAGACTGGGCTTCCGGCACGTGGTGACTGTGGAGGAGCTTCGGACAGCTTTCCCGGTGCTCGACATGGTGGACCTGGAGCGCCGGCCCAAGACCACGGTAAGCGGGGGCCCCAGTTGGGCCCCATCTCCCTGCTGACCTCGCAGCCCCTCCTGCTCAAGGCCTTGTTCCGTCTGCACTTCTGCAAGGCCACCTTCCTGGAGAAACACCTGACCCACAATTCAAAAAGTTCATGGGAAAATGGAATGTAAAAAAGATGGAATTCCCCCTCGTGTAAGAGTGGCCCGGAGGAGCAGTGAGCTCCTGAGCCTGCTCAGGTCTGCAGGGGGCCAATCCCTGAGAAACCGCCTCCCGGTCCCCGGCACTCCCTCCCCAGGTGTGGTGGTGGGGTTCCACTCCGTGGCCCGCCCCAAGTGGCCACGTAGGACTGCCCTGCAGAGCGTCCTAGGCTGCCCTCCCCATGGGGCAGGTCCCCACCAGACCCTTTCCCCTGCAGCCACTGGTGGGTTCTGACTGCAGGCCTCGGGGGAGCAGCTGAGCCCGCGGACTGTGGGGCCACCAGCGCTGCTGCCTCCCTCCTTCCCGTTGGGTGTTTAACATTTCACGGCTGGCTTCCCTGTGCCGCAGGGGGAATCATTAACCTTCGTTCAAGCAATCCTGTGGCCACTTCACCCTGAAGCAGGCCAGAGGAGCTGGGCTTGTTTGTAGAGGCCACATCGGTCATTCTGACCAGCTGCTCTCCCACCTTGACAGTCTGGCTTACCCCCAGCCGCCGGTGTGAGTTCGTTCCTTCTGACAGCAGCCATAGGGCCACCTACTGATCCATCTTAGCTTCCCACCTGCTGGCCTTCAGTTTCTCAAAGTGGGTGATCCGGCCGCCCCTGGGGCTGCAAAAGCAGATACCTACACCTTATCTTGGATGATGGGCATCTTTTCATTGCTAAGGGGTGCGCTGGGTAAATTTTTTTTTTTCTGAAAAGGGGTGGCAGGCCAAATTTTGGGCCATCTGTTCTCGAGGATCTCTGAGGTGCCCTTGGGCCTCCTCTGCCTTACGTGACGTTTACAGTGAACCCTCATTTATCGCGGTTAATCGATTCTAGACCCTACCGTGATAAATGAAATTCCGCGAAGTAGGATTCCTTATTTGTAAATCAAATATTTTCGTAGTTAGAGCATAGAGGACATGAAAAAACACCCTTTAGTCACCATTACACTCGTATTACCCAATTTATTAAACGAAAAAGGGAAAATACAGTAAAACATTTTGGACGTTACAATGATCATTTATTATATATTATATTATTTATGGCATCTAGTTTACAGTATTACATATTTCACATACAGTATTATTATACATAGTTCTTACAACTACTGTAATCAATGGCGTGCAACCTCCACGATTTTCTTGCCATCTTTGATCATATCCAAAAGTTTTACCTTTTCCTGGATGGTGAGCATCTTCCTCTGGCGCTTATTTTTATTGTCAGAAGGCTTAGAAGAAGCAGCTCGTTTAGGAGCCATCATAGGGCTTAGATAAAATTTCTTAAAAATCGCAAACAATTACAGTACCCTGTACAAAAGCAAAAATGCATCTGATACGTAGCTCCGATACGTAGCGATGCAGACAGAAGCGTGTACAGTATGAGCCAATCAGTGGCAGTAATAACAGAGAATGCACTGTTACGCAAAAAACGCGATAGAGTGAAGCCGCGGAAGTCGAAGCGCGAAGTGGCGAGGGTTCACTGTACATATGTCACACAGCCGATATTTTAAATCCCCCACCCCCTCGGCATTTGGCGAAATGCAGTCACAGACAGACAAGCTTACCTGTACTTGTGTTTGCTTATTTAAAACCCTTCCTCCTCCAGAGCTTTCCCGTCGAATCACGCTTCACCCCCTTTATAATGTGCTCCCGGAAGCCTGCTTCTCACGAGGAGACGCAGAATAGCCGAGATGGAACAGGCACCAGAAAGGCCCAGATCCCTGAAATGAGAGCCGAGTGCCACACCTGGGCCGTGCCTTAGCCCAGGCCACAGAGCTGGTTTGAGGCAGAGCTGAGGCTTAACTCACCCGGGGAAGGTGTGAGCCTCAAGGGGCTCCAGGCACTGGGGAGAGCATGCCCTGATGGCCTCTCTGGTCTCCAGAGGCTCACCATTACCTCCCTGATTCTAGACCCTCACTTGGCTCCCTGCCCTCACGGGCGAAGGACGGCTGATCAGCCCTCTCCTGGCTGGCCTTCCTGTGTGGTGTCCCTCCACATTGCTGTCCTCTTTCCCCCTCTCTCCACCAGTCTCCCTCCTCGGTCGGTCCATCCCTTCCTGGGCTTTGCACTTTGGCGTCTGTGCCGGGGCGGATGGCTGTGGGTCTGTGTGGAAGGGCTCCTTCCTCCCCCTCGCTTGGAAACTGGTGTTTGGTTCTCTGGGGGCAGAGGGTGACTCGGAGTGGACGGGCCTCTTCTTTGTCTCTTGACAGGCCCCTGTGAGGAATGACTTCCCCGCCATCGAAGGTCAGTGTGGGTGGTGCGAGTGCTCTCACCTGCCAGGCCTGCCATCTCAGTGGGGCGGCCGGGGCGGCAGGACACGGGGACTGTGTCTTGGATCTGCCTCCCTGCCTCTCTGAGGTATCGGCTGCTAATCTTTGCTTTCCCCCATGTTGCTCACCTACTTGATCCCGAAGATCCTGAGCTTAGAGGGATTTAGCACGGAAAGAAAGGCTCCTGGAGGTAGACCAGGCCACTGTTTCTCACCTCTTGTAAATCCAGTTCTCCTGGTATGTAACAGAATGATCGGAACGCCCCCTCGGCTACTCTGGGACGGAACCCAGGGGCAGCGGGGCTTGTTTATGCTTGTATGACGTCACAGACCCCCGTGAATGTTGCAGCCGTTCCGGTCTCTCTGAGACGCGGGCCTCCGAGGGCAGGACTGTCTTGGGTGTCCGGTCTCTCTGGTCCTCGCCCCCACTGTGACAACCAGTGTGTGCCCTCCCCTTTTTGGCACACCTCTCCCCGGGGGAACTGGGCTTACAGCTCATAGCCACAGCTGCCCTTTATCCTTCAGCCTGCCCCGTAAATGGGTGGGGGCGGTGCACAGTGGGGAAAATGGAAGCTCAGAGAAGGGAAATAGTTGCCCAAAGTCACACAGGGAAGTTGGCAGAGGCAAGAAGGGGATTCCAGCCCCTGCTCCTCACAGCCCCCAAGCTGCACTGGCCCCTGGTCTGAGGCGCGTGCCCGTGGCATGCCGGTGGGAGGTAGGCACAGCGCAGCCATTGGCAGGGGAAGTCAGCCCGAGACTTGCTGCTGTAGCTTGTTTTTCTAGCTTTTTCAGTGTGGTATCGGAGACACCCACTAATGTGGGGACCCTTCGGAAGCACCTTACTGGGCCCCTGGCTTTGTTTATCTTGGGCAAACAGGTGGGAGGCTCCTGCAGGCCTGGTTCAGGCTGCCGGGAGGAGAGCTTGTGGTTGGGTAGCGCTGGCTGGTCTCCCGAGGCCATTGGCCCAGTTGAGTGCTCATACCGGGTCCTTGCTCTTCAAAGGGGTGCTCCTCCTCGGGGAGCCCGTCCGCTGGGAGACGAACCTGCAGCTGATCATGGATGTCCTCCTCAGCAATGGGAACCCTGGGACAGGTCTGGCGACAGCCCCGTACCCCCACCTGCCTGTCCTGGCCAGCAACTTGGACCTCCTTTGGATGGCTGAAGCCAAAATGCCCAGGTAAGGCCGCAGAGGCGTGACTGCTGGCTTGGTGGCCCTACAGATCGCCCACCCTAGTACTGTCCTGCTCTTCTGGGCGGTCAGGCCCCGGCCTGGGCAACCAGGGGAGGAGAGGGCCAGGGCCAGAACCACTGAGCAGCTGCTCTTCTGTCCTTCCCCTGCAGGTTTGGCCATGGCACCTTTCTCCTGTGCCTGGAGGCCATTTACAGGAAAGTCACGGGCAAGGAACTGCGGTACGAGGGCCTGATGGGCAAGCCCAGCCTCCTCACCTAC